GGAGCCCACAAATTTTCCGGGGGCGGGGGGGGGGGGGTCCACAGGATCCCCGCTCAAGAGCCTGTAACACCTCTCGACGCTTCTACAAACCAGGATTCCTCATTTTACCTTTAAAGTCGATGGTGGAGCTTCCATTTGAGTCAGTGGAGTGGGCGAGTCAGGTCGGTGGAGCACAGGGCTCCTCCCTTATCAGCATGGGGCAGGTTTCTGCTGCAAACCTAGAGGCAGCTCTGAAATTCTCCTCAGGGTTTACATAAATCCCATTCTCAGTGAAACCCACCAGAGTGAAGCATTTTGAGACTCGTTTCTCTTTTTGGGGGTGCGTAAAGAAAGCAAACCCAATAAAATAAAATGGCAAGTCAGACGAGAAGTCGACTGGTCGAACCTTGTCCACACACCATGAGCCAAAAATCCTGTACCTTATCCGGAAGTCCGTGGCGGGGATACACAAGACATGTTGCAGATTTCTTGCCAAATCTTGCTCGTATCCAGCCCATCCGCATACAGAGGTTTTCCACAGCGCTCTCTGTTCCTGCAATCCCTTCCAACCCCTGGAAGAATCGTTTGTTGAGGTTGAGGGACATACAGACGTTGGGAGGCTGGATTGAGGAGGGGCAAGGAGATGAAAGTTTGCCCTGCCCTCCGTGGAGCTGTTCTTGCAGAGAAGAAAGGAAGGAGGGAGCAGTTTCGCCCCCTTGTTTCTCCTCTGTCCAGCTCCCCCGCCCCTATGGCTATGCTCTTCTGTGTGGGTCCAGCAATCCCTAAAATGATCTTTTCAGGGGCCTAAACAGGCTACAGGAATGGAGAGGAACAGATGGGGGGAAAATCTGTGTTCTATGCACAGGTGGTTGGATACAGGCCTTTGTCTTCCTGTCCAAATGCAGAACAGACATGGAAAAATGTATGTTCGTGGCTGTCCCCCAGATTTCCAAACAAGACAGGTGCTAAATGCAAAAATTCCCTTCTGCACATTAATATCCTTCCCCTGGACCCATTCGGTAAGCACAAGAAATCAGAGTGCTGTACGTCATGCCACATTTTGAGTTCTCTCCAGTGTTAATTTGGTGTCGCGATGACATCTAAGGTAGGGGAGCGCTGGATTTCTTACGTCTTCGTCAGAGCTAAGTTCACTACCTGTGGGCGTTTTGACATGTTGCCTGCACGACTGACTGCAGGAAAGTATTTTGTGTGAAATCGGATGTTATCTGTGAAAGTGATTTGAGGAAGGACCTCTTCAGCACTGTGCATTTGGAAAGCCTTTCGCTCTCCTCGCTTAAAGATCCATAATGGGTTTCTCGGCATTTCCCCCCCCTGAGCTGTGCTTGGCATATTCCATCTGCAACTTGAAAACCCGCACAGATGTCGTCTCTTTATGAGCGAGGGAGTCCTCATTTCTGGGCAACTCCTCTGTGGACCTGCTGACTGGCAAGTCCAGGGCACAGTGAGCCCACTGACGTGCATCCCCCTGCCTGTGGGGTTCCTTCATTTGGAGAAGGGGAGTTAATTGCACATCGCTACTCTGTGCCTGGCATGTTCAAGTACTGTAGACATTTTTTTTCAGGGTTCGAGACTCTTATAGCATTAAATGCATTTAGTGTTTCTTCTTCTTCTGGCCCCCTGCGGAAGCCCAAAGGCTATACATGAGATTGCCGCTGTACTTAAGTCTCTTCAGGAGATGTCATGGGCGGAATTTCTCCGTTCTGTCTCCTGGCCGTCTTTTCCATGCAGGGCATGACAAGGAGGAAGTGGCCTTCTTGAAGTTCCTCTCCCTCAGAAAGCCAGTACCGGGCCTTAGTCAGATGGAAATACTCTCGCAGTTGCAAATGAGGAAGGAGCCGGGAAGGGGCAGCCGCGTTCTGCTCTTCGTTGCACCCCCCGGGCATCTCTCAAACGACGGCTCTACAGCCTTTCTCCTTAGGAACGCAGAAGGCCACTGAGCCAGCAAGGCACCTTGTGCTGCTTCCACCAGACTTGCGGGTGGCAAATTGTATTTCCAACTCCGTCTGTCCCCAGTTGGGATGAATAGCGAGCTGCTGGTTGAGTAGTGACTTTCCTCTCTAGTGTCTCCCAGTTTATTGACTGCAGGCTGTCTCCAGCGTTCCTTCCTGTGTGCATCAGGAGCCGTAATGTTCTGGCTGGTGCCGCCTTGCTGGAGGCAGGACTCTAAACCCATGGCATTCTTGGCTCCCCCAGACCACTGACTGTCTGCCAGACGGAGCAGGCCCCAGGGAAACCAGAGTGCCATGTCCTTGGTCAACGCACATCAGCGTCGAGCAGCAGGAAGCCCCTCCCATTCAAGAGTTCAATTTGCCTCTACCTCTGTCGTGGCGCTTGTTATATATGCATTGTTGCCGTCAAGGAGGAGCCCAGCAGCGACAACCCCCCCCCCCCCCGGGGGCCGGGCCCCCCAATTTATTTTTAATAAGGAGCAACCTTTTATCCTTCCGCACAGACGGACTTGGCTAATGTAACAAGCATTCCCGTTGTCCTATTTCTCCCTTTGTGATAGCTTTCGCCAGAGAGTTCTGTAAGAATGGATTGCACGGGCCCAGTTTTTAAACAGTTTATTTTGAAGGGGGCGGTTTATTTGTTTCCCCCCTCCCTGTTCAAGTGAAGACCGATCCTTGCTTATCCTGTCTCAGGTCCACATGGCTCCCCACCCCTCCCTTTCCATAAGCCAATGGAAGGATCTAGTCTTCAGCATGCCAATTCAAAGATTTTTTTCTTTTCCATCCAAAAAGATGCCGAAGCGGCCGGTCTGTTTGGACGGACGCAGGCAACGGGGATCAGTTTGTCTTTTTTTAAATGGAGTGCCTTGCAAATAGTTTATAAATACTGTGTATTTAAGTGATGCTGTTACTTTGTCCCTGTTAGGACTAGGGTGTCTATGGTGTCAATACAAGCCCCTGTACTAATGGTAAATATCATAATCATATCGTAGCTACCTTATCCTATCCTTTGGAAATGGCTAATTGGGGTCCTTTTGGCTATTTGAAAAACTGTCAATAATTATTTTGGGTTGTTTTTTTTTAAAGAAACTCCTTTAAAAAAAACCAACCCCCTCCTCCCTCTTCCAGGACATCGCACAACAGTTGGGTTAATCTATGCAGCAATAGAAGCAGGTGGGGACCAACAAGGCTTGCCAAAGACCTTTGTACCCCCACCTGGTGGAAACGGGAGCCTGGATTCCAGGCCAGGGCACCTCCCAGCCTCAAATCTGACAATGCACAAAGCGGCACCTTAATTCTATCCTGTGTTCTTCCCAGACGTGTTTTTTATAACTAGCCCCATTTTACGCCGTGTTTGCTGTTCAAACGGCCTCACGTTTGTGTTGCCAGTCTAGATTGCCTGTTCTCAAATGGGCATCCCAGGGTGAGCCCTTTTCTTCCCAGAACTGTGGGTTGGTTCCAGACACTGACAAGCCCAGTATGCCCTCTGCTCAGTGCAGCATAGCCCGGGCTTCGGGGCCATCTGTGCTGCCACAACACATAGGAAGCAAGTGTGATCCTGACAAGCAAGGGCAGGAGTTGGGGTGGGGGTGAGTGGCAGGGTTACTGAGGCCAAACACATCACTGTGTATACATTCCTGCCTACGTTAGCCTGGCTCTTGTGCTGCACCGTAAGCCCGCTGGTGGTGGGTGGCTGGTGCTGTACCCCAATGCATGCAGGCTATTACCAAGCCCATCGGCATCTGACCTGGCCCT